GTTTTGTTCGTGGGAATTCAATTTCGTTAAAACATTTTTCAATAAAAGAATTTGGATAATTATTGAAATTTAGAATTTCTTTTATAAATTGTTTTCTTTGGAAAAATTAGAATTAGACAAATTATTTTTGCTCTATCATATAGACTTTTTACGATACCCATTTTTATATATATGACAGCTTGAGCCTAAGTGTGTCGCAGGATACCCTCTAGGTGATAGTTCTTGATTACTTTTTGATAAATAATTCGTTCTTATTGCGAAATAGGAGCACTATTTAGGAGCACTATTTATCAATCTGTAATAAAAGACGTGAGGAAATTCTGTCTTTTTTAAAGACAAAAATTTTTGAAGCGAAATACCCAAAAAGAAGTTTGTAAAAAAATGAATCCGCCTCAACAATATAGAACTGATCTACAACTTAAGAGTTTTATTTTTAATCATGATTATGAAGATGCGTTTGTGTTTGTGTAAGTATTCTTGTGAATTTGAACAGGTTTGGATCCTGCTGGACCTCTATTTACCAAATGGCCTAAAAGCCTTAAACTAGATGCAAGTGATGCGGAATTTGTCGATATAATTCACACTGATGCAGGCATTTTCGGTTATCCAAATCAAATTGGTCATGTGGACTTTTGGCCTAACAGAGGCATAGCACCGCAACCAGGATGCAACCTGAAGGAGGTCAAAAAAAGGAACCCAGACGCTCTTTTAGAATATGGTAAATGTGACTAAAGATTCCAAGAAATGCATTATTTATTGTGTTGTTGATTGATTTTTTCTAGCTTTCTGCAGTCATTGGAGGTCGTACCAGTTCTTTGCAGAATCAGTAATAAATCCGCATGCTTTCTTGGGTGCCATAAATTGCGATAATTGGGACGATTACGAAAACGAAATTTGCAACGAACAAAATAATTTTACTTCGCCCATGGGACTTTATGTTGACCTCAGGTAAATTTCTTTCAATTTTTAAAGGATTAACCAGCATTTTTTGTGATCTCGCTGGTTCTGATTTGGAGTTAGAAAATCAACCAGAAAAAATTTACTTTTTAAAACACTTTTGTTAGATTACTTACCTTATCTTTGCCTTATTTTTCTTGTATTTTGTTTCAGGGCTAGAGGCAATTTCTACATAAGAACCAATCCAGAATCTCCATATTCAAAGACGTAGCAAAAACTGGCCTCTAGAAAACTAAATTGACTACACAAGAGAACGGTTTTTAATGCAAGCGTATTGCAATAAACTATTATTTTAAATGCAAATTAGTTGAATTGAAAAAATATGGCTAAATTAGAAAATTAGTTAATTTTCTCTAACTTTTATTGCCTCAATCATACGTTAGAACTCTAGAATGCACAGTATTTTAAAGAGTCATTATTTCCAAAAGAATAGCTATAAAAAAGAAAAGTTAATATTGAATGTTCCTTCTTAAATTTTTTGTAAATTATGAAAAACATTTTTATAAGTTTCAAATTTTAAGCTGTTTCATTTTAATTGATTAAAAATTCACATTTGTTCTGAATGTTTTGTAGTGCTTTAAGATTTGCGGTTGGTAATATACAGGGTGTCCCGTAAGCACATAATCAAAAGGATACTGCGATATTCTTTGAATCAACAGAAGACGATCTGGCTAACTTTTATTAACAAAAAATGTCTGGCTCCTTTGCTATTGATGGTCAAAGTTCTTCAAAAAAGTTTTATTTTTCTAAATATCGGGAGAATGGTACGTTCGGCATTCAAGAATTCACCACTTATCCTAAACGTCTAAACTCGATTGTTTCATCAAACTATGAATCTTACATAAGAACACATTCACAGCGAGTTTCACCAAAATACATTGTACCATTCTCCCGATATTTCAAAAAAGATAAATTTTTTGAAGAACTTTGACCATCAATAGCAGAGGAGTCAGAAATTTGTTGTTAATAAAACTTAGGTCAGATCGTCTTCTTTTGATTCAAAGAATATCGCAGTACCCTTTTGATCATGTGCTTACGAAACACCCTGTATACACGAATATCAACTAAAAGCTAGAGCAAAGCAACTAATTGCTGAAAAACTTTTAAAAAATTTTGGTGTTTGGCATAAAAATCTAAAATTTTACTACTAATTTTGAAAGAACAAAATGAAATAAAATGTTTACCAACCTGTAGCATTTGTTCCTACTATTTATCGATGTACATATATAATAAGCTTAAAGAATAATATACTATGTATTGTGTAAATAAAATCGAAGAGCATGTTAATAAAAATGTTTAACTACTTGATCGTTGTATGTTTTATCACCTACTTTTCTTCCGCCATATCCATTGAACAATTGCTTAAACGGTATTATGACGTAAGTGAAATTTGCAATGTAAATTTCTGCGATTTGTTCAAACAATTAAACAATAGATTGATTACTGAAGAGTCCAAGACTCCAATAAAAAAAGAAATTTGCTTTCTTTCGTTTCTAAACTTATTGTAACATGCACTGTAAAAATACAAACAGTACTGTTGAAGATAGTCATTAATCTCTATCTATTACATTATATGTTAGTTAAAATATACCTACATGTTTTTTTCGCACTTTGACTTTTAATAGATGAAAATACGATTGATTAAAAAAACTTTACTTGAGATATTAAAAAGCTTCAATTTTACTTACGTTTATCAAACTGTGAACAAAGTTTTGCGCGTTTTATGCAAATTTACAATGTAAAGTGTAGTAGATAAGTTCAGAGTTTTGTAGCTTTCTAATACTGCTGTAAAATTTTCAGCTCACGCTGTCATATAATCTAATGTTCAAAAAACGCATTAGGCCTCAAATTTTGGTTGCAAAAATGCAAACAAATAGATAGATGAAAACATTCAATACTGGAAAACATTAAGAACGAAGTTGACAATAATATAGATAATAAAAAAATGACTGGAACTGGCGAAGAGCAAAGAAAAGGAAAGAAATAAAAATATGAACGGAAGGAAGGGAAGTATTTTAATACGAACATTTGAATATACATTAAAACACTACCTAATCATTAAGATATTTTGCATGAAAACTTGTTTAGTAGCTCTACCCGAAAGTCTTTTGAACAACGTACATTTTCCTAATAAATGGAGAAAAAAGTTTTTGAGCATTAAAAATTTTATTTAGGTACATATCGCTTTCCAGTCAATAGTAAGACGCTTAGCATATAAAAATAGTCAGAAAAATGCAGCCAATTGAGCCTCTAGGAATAAAAGCTGATAATCAAGACTCTAAATGTGGGAAACAATCACTACTTCTGTTCTGCCGGAATTTGCCTACTTTTAAATAAAATCACAAATTCAAAATTTTGATATGTCATATACAGGATGGTGCATGCTGCACTGTTCAAATTTATAATTATAAAAATGTACAAAATACTGCTAACCTGTCTTCTCTTCAGCAGGAGAGTGAACATAAAAAACTGAACATAGAATTGTCGCTCAGAAAATATTGTTAGTAGCAGCTTATCAGAGTAGTGAATAATTTATCCTTTGATAACAGAAAGCACGAATGTTATCTAAAAAATAGCAATGCCATTATATGGTTAGGCATTAGACGCTAAATCGCTTATCAATTAGTACGCCACAAAAAAAATATAAAATTTTAAATTGCATAAAAACCGAACCGCATTGTGAGCATACAGTAGCATTTTGCAATATCTCACGGTTTATTGACCAGTACCATGAGCGCTTAAATATTTTTTTACTTATTAGTAACAAGCCTTTCCATTAAATTTAGATTGCGGTTATTAAACAATCAATTAATTGACTGCATTTCTAAAAACAATGTCAGCCAGTGTGTCGGTGTTGTGTTTTTTGACTAATTTGCCAGGTAACAAAAAAAAACGTACTTATATTATCAGATTTGCAAATAAAAAAAGGTGCGCAATTGATGATTTAAATATAAGATGCGGTGCAATGGATACGTTCTACCGATTTGCAAAAAATATAATTGGCTAATAATCATAAATCAATAAAAAAAGTAGGTAACTAATAATGCTATTTGAGATATGTTATTATCTAAGTTTATTCAAAAGCTGAGTTCCTTTGGAGTTTGCCTAGTTAAAGACGCGTAAACAAAAAAATCGGCGTTTTATTTAATACAATAGTTTTTGTACTATCAACCCACTTTTTTCAATGTCTGATGATTTTGCTCACTCTAAACGGGCGAAAACTTGTAACGACACCATTTTTAAAGGCCGCTAAAACATTCAGTATTAAAAAATGAAAGTATTCATCTTAAGGAAGACTGCAATTTCCAATTTTTAAATAAAAAAGCATTTTTTGTTTGGTAAAATAAATGGTAATTGTAAGATTTTCAAAATAGTGAAGGTAGTAATTTTTTTTGCTTGTATTAACTCGGTTCTTCAATTTGTCAGCTTTCTTAAAGCCAAACCGCTTTAATTTTCTAGTAAAATCGATGAAATAAAATAACGAATCGTTTTGCTAAACTTTTTGAAAAATTTTCAAGAAAGGTGCCGTGGAAAATGAAGTTTTTTAATCTTGCTTAAGTTCGTCAAATGGTCAAAGCACCAAATAAATATTTTGTGATCATGTTGCTAGATCATCTATACTGCAAATCCAGCTAAACTGCAATCCCTAATATAGTTAGAAAGTCCCTCAAAAATTAAAACTGTTCTTCCAAAAGTGTTCCAACTGTTGTGAAAAGTCACTTTCCAATTGGACTGGTTTTTAGACTTATAAGAATGTATTAAATCAAGTTATTAATAATAATAAGTCTCAGATCATTGTTACTCGACTTCAAAATTGAAAATAAAAATATTGATAATAAGATCACAATGGTAGTTTGATTAGACATAAAAATATTAAATGGAGGAAAGAAAAACAACGAAAGAGAGACGCAAAACAGAAGCATTAAGCAAATAAAAGTACAATTATGTGAAGAACTGAACTCGAGTAATTCACTTGCAAAACAATTATTTTAAAGGAAAGTAATTGATAAAAATTTTTCAAACATAAACATTTTCTAGGACCGCCCTTGCTTCACTGGTCGAATTTTTCTTTGCAACTTTGGCCTATAAATAGAAGATTATGTCCACAATTTGATCCATATAGAGACACAGTATTTCATTTATATACCAGGTAAAGACATATTTTGTAGGTATTGATTGTTCTATTTTAAAGAAATTAGAGAACTAAAAACTGCTATATTTACATATACAGGATAACTGATTTGAACTAGGGATGGTTCAGTGCAAAAATGCAATACATGTTATTTATCATGTATGAAATTGTGAACCCGTTGGTTGCAAAAATTGGTTTCCTGGAGTTTTAATTCAATTTCATTTAATTTGTTTAATGAATGAAAAAAATATGCTCGAAAAAGGTCATCATTTGATACACACACAAAACCTCGCTGGAAGTATTCACTATTTGGTTAATGCCGTTAAGTAGAAAACTTTTCTCGAATAATGTAAGCGGCAGTTCCATTTAACCACATGATGCAGTTACGTTTTAATTCCTAACTGCTTCTATGATGGTCAAATGGTTTTAATTGAATAAAAACTGACTATATTCAATCTTGGAACGTAAATTTCAATGTTTAAAGAGCTTTTTGGGAGTTTTGTAGGCTTCAGTGAAAGGACCATATTTTTTTAGTCTACACTCCTATCGGCCCCAAATTAAATAATCTAAATAATTTTTAGAGAAAATCCTCAAAGTTCAAAAATTATAATTCCACAAGACGATAATTCCTTGGAAAGCTCAGGAATCGACTTTTCGTACAACACGATTATATTTTTCCACGGATTTTTGGAATCTTATGAATCAGATGATGCACAGTCTATAAAAAACGGTAAGTACTTTTATATTCTCCAAATGAATTGAACAATGAATTAAAACTCAAATCAATAGCTGTTTGTTCCGACTTCTGGAACCACAAAAACGGAAAAGTTCTCGTGGCTTTAAAGTCTAGCCAGTGGTATTCGCTTTATCGATACTGAAAGTTACAAAAAAAACAAACTTCCACATGCAGCCAGAGAAAAATTGAAGCTGAGCACAGTTGAGAAGTTGTAGGAAACTTTATCAGATTTTCTACTAAATGTTTACACGTAGTTAATGCTCGAAACTCTAAGGGTATAAAGATGTATGTTTTCTGAATTTTCCCATCATTGTCTACTAGTGATAATAGGAACCCAATTGATTAAATTTTGAAATATATTGTTTTATCTGAACAAAGTAATTCTTGTTTTAAATCTCTCCCTCTGAAAATAATTCACTAAAAACTACTCTTTGCATCAGTTTCACTGATTTCTTTGTCCTTTGGTTCATTAGTTTTTTAGTTATTGAATGATTTAATATGTTAATTGTTTTTGTTTTCGATTGGATTTCTTTGTATTGCATGTTCGGGTATACTTTACCCATTTTCTTTTATACTTTCTCTTACTAATATGTTAATTTAATTATGTATCGTCTCCAATAAACAGGAGGATTGCAAGTAAACAAAGTAGGCAATTTTAAAAGTCGGTATTGATCTATGAATTTTTATAATTAGCATAAACTCAGCAACAACAATTAAAATTTTGCATAAAACAATGCTTTTTAAATCAGTTTTCAAAAAATGTATGTAAAATAAATGACAAACGCTTCTATTTTAATACATTAATATACACTTTTTGTAAATTTTATCCATACCCTTCCATCAATTTTTACAAATAGGATCACATTTTTTAGGAGAGGTCTTTGAACGTTTCTTATAAATTTATTTAGTGTCTATTTATATTCATGAATAATTTCGTTTGTGTAATTGAAAAGTTTTCAACTCGCGAACTTTATTGAGATTTCTTTTTTATAATTTCCATTGTAAACTATTAACATAAATTACAAAGATAGCACAAAGATATATTTTGGAAAGCTAGAAGAATTGACAAAATTTAAGTCTATATTTGAGGACAAGAAAATGAACTTTTTTATTTAAAAAAAAACGTGCTATCAACCAAATGCCAATATCTTTTTTATAGTTAGAAAAGTTTACAAAATTTAAGTTTATATTTGATACCGAGATAATCATTTTTTTAATTTTTTTAACACGCTTTTCCTAATTTGGTAAAATGTGCAAATGGGGCAGAGAACGCTTAAAAAATATTGAAGAAAAACGGGAAAATAACTCATCCCACTTCGTCCGGTTTAGCCTGTTTCGAACAGTTCCTACAATTTTGTATACGATATACTTCCAGTTTTTACTAATGATCTCATCAAAACTTTATTTTAGCATATTTAGAGCAAGGAACGTATAATGTTATTTTGGTGCAAAACGAGCGACTATTAGCCGGTCCTGACTATATCACAGCAGCTAAAAATTGCAGACCTATTGGTCGATATTCTGCGGCTTTTATTGACTACCTGGTAACAAAAGGTTTGAAACTTGAAAATCTTCATGTTATTGGTCTCAGCTTAGGAGGGCAAATTGCCGGACTAACCGGACAATATGTAAAAAGTGGAAAACTTCCCCGTATTACAGGTAAAATTAAATGCAGTAGTACATGGGTATTTTGGGACTTTGAGAAAAAGTTTTGGAAATGAAGCGAAAAATGCAATAAGAAATACTTGTATTTACTAATTAAGTCGACGCTCATTCGGAGCAGCAGTGAGCAATGTTTCATTCGCGTGGCGGAATACAAGTATTTTTTTCAATTCATGCTCTAATGCTTATAAGCTGGACATTACACCTAACTCCAAATATTGCAAAAAGTCTTTAAAGCTTCTAATCCTACTAAACGTTTCAGCGCTGGATCCAGCAGGACCTCTATTCAACAACAACCCAATCGATGAACGATTGGATCCAAGCGATGCAGAATTTGTGGACGTAATTTACGTAAATTCTGGAGTTTTTGGTATGAAATACGCAGTCGGTCATTTGAATTTCTGGCCAAATGGTGGAACCAAACAACCAGGTTGTAAACTTCACGAAGTGATTGCTCGATACGGTTTTGCATTCAACTGGATAGGTAACTGAGCCTCCAAAGAATTAAAAACTTATAAAAATAATTAGCTGCATCTAATTGCTGGAATGTCTGTGAAGATCAATAATTTTTGAAACTCAATTAACAAATTATGTTTTCATTTGTAGTATTCTGTAATCATTTCCGTTCCTATCAACTGTATGTGGAGTCTATACGGTTTCCACAAAGCTACCCGAGCAAAAAATGTGAAAGTTATGTCTCGTTTGAACGGGGATCTTGTAATAATAACGCAGTTGCATACTTAGGAGTTCTGGCTGATTCCAAGTAAGTTACCAACAGGATATTTCGGGTGGCTGGTTTAATGGAAAGTGGAAAAAAATTATATCACTTTAAAACATTGCTCTAATTGGTGGAAAAACTTTGGGGTTTTACTTAAAATGAAAACACTTATTCCAGACAGTTCCATAAGATGTACAAATTATTGGAGGACTCGCTAAACTGAAACTCAGCGTATTTCCTTAACACTTACGTATAATTGTTTTCAGTAATTGCACTATTATTCACCTGAATTTCTATCCTGAAATAGGCGATTTTTTGCTAATAAAATATGCACTTCTTTCATGCAAATCACAGCAGATGTGTTCTATAAATATGTTAATAACAGCTTGTTTTCCTAGTCACTTTAGAGGGGAGTCTTCCTGAGAATTTTTTTAATTTGAGGTCTCATTTTTGAGGTATTTGATCTCCAAAATGGCGAAAAATATTAGTTTTTGTTGTTTTTCTTTAAAACCTTTAAGCATAGAAAATTAAATTTTGGTACACATTATAAGCTAATTGAGTGCCATTCTATGTTAGTGTTGTGTTTTGTAGTTCAGTGTACTTTTATACAGAATAGAAATGTGGAACCCCTACTTTTGTTTTGTTCAGACATTTTTTGTGTGTACTTGAATTTCTATCATCATAATTTTTTTAATTACTACAAGTTATTTGTCAACTTTTTTATATCTTATTATTTTTCTTAAGGGCAGTAGTTTGCCCGCAAAAAGATTAAATCGTTTCGGCTTGATCAAAACTTTCCAAGCCGTTGGATTAGGTGAGGTCAAGAAGCTCCTATAAACTCGCCTCCCAGATCTCCCGTTCTAAACGCGCTTGATTTTTACTTCTGGGGCCATTTAAAAAAATACCGTGTATTCAACAGAAGTAAATACAATCAAAGATCTTCATAAACGAATATTTAGTATTTCTAACGAAATAAGAACTTCAGTGCAAACTTTACCGTCTGTAAATTTTAGTTTCATTAAAAGACTGCGATTATTCCAAGAAAGTCAAGGTGACCAATTTGAACAGCTACTGAGTTAACATTAGAATGGTTATTTAACTGACATTTTGTTTGTTTATATCGTTGCGCATATTGTTACCATGTTATTATTTAAGTAAAATTTATTCAAACTTAATAATTGTAATCTGAACCAAAATATACAATTTAGAAAAAGCATTTAGGTTGGTAATAATCAACTAATAATGCGTACCAAAATTGCTATATGAAAACGTTATCAGATTTTTTAAGAAATTAACTAAATTACTTACACATTTTGAGAACGACAAAAAAACCGATTTTATTTTTTTGCGGGTAAACTAGTGGTCTTAGGAAAAAACAATAAGAGATAAAAAAGTTTGTAAAAAACTTGTAGTGACTAAAAAAATTATGTCGAGGAAAGTTTAAGTGCACCCAAAAAAAGTTCTGCAACGAAACAAAAGTAGGAGTTCCACATTTCTACCCTGTATAAAAGCAAACTGGACACGAAACAATATCATAAAATGGCACTCAATTACCTTATAATGTATACCAAAGTTTTTATGTTTAACCGTTTTAAAGGACAACAACAAAAACTAATATTTTCCGCCATTTTGGAGATCAAATATCTCAAAAATGAAACCTCAAATTAAAAAAATTCCCTCTAAAATGACTATAAGAACACGCTGTTAAAATATTTTTACATATTTACGGAACACCCTGTATATCTTTTCCAAATAATTTTGTTATAAATCATATAAATTCAAAAGAATTTTGGAACTTTAAAGAATATCTTGACTTTCATTAGGTATTATTCGTTGGATTTCAGATTAAAGGTATACTTTTCAAGATGAATATCAATTTAGTGCAACATCGATATGCTGTTTGTACCTGGGAAAAGAGTAAAAACGACTGAAAATGTCCTGGATATATCAAAAATTAACTCGAAGGACTTTCTATTGAATTTTCACCAATAATTTCGAAAGTTTACCATTGAATTGTGCATTAATCTACTGTTTATCCATTGCGCTTGTTTTACAGGAGCACTGGCAATTACTATCTGGATACAGGATACTCAGGAATTTACAATGGATAATGGAAAGTGAAGAAGTAGTTTTACGAAGAAACTGTAAATAACTTTCAATGTAGTTCACATATTGGCCTAGTAATTTACCTATTTAAGATACCTTCGTAGAAAACAGTATTATTTTAACAACTTGTGCTGCGAAGTGTTTAAATTGAGGCTCATGCGGATTAATTGGTAATTGGCAATTGCAAATTTTTTATTTAGTATCATTTGGACAACGACTAGGAAGTCTGCAACATTACAGAAGTTATAATTTATTTGTCGCTGGCCTACTTTTAAGAAACACTAAATATTTTTAGTTTGTCATATACAGAGTGTTGCATTATATAGTGCTCGTCTCTAGTAGGAAAAAATAAATATAATGTATCTAGTTCCTAGTAGTCATGGAGTAATAAGCGTTCAAAGTTGTGCAGTTTTCTTGATTCATTCGTTTCATGGTTTTATACGTTTCTGCAATTTGTGCGAGATTTGAAGCTGTTCAGAATCCCTCAAAATGGAACCTCAAAAATTTATAGAAAACCTTCACTTTTTATAAAAGTTGCAGCATTGGCCGGGAAAATAGTACAAAATTTCCGCATCTTTACATCATCAATAAATTCAGCTTTAACGCACCGGATAACCTACAATATTTTCCATATGTATCGTAAAATTCAGACATAAAAATCAAATTCAAAAATTATAGAAAAATGTGTTTAAAATTAGACAAAATGTGCCTCAGCTTGTAAGGACTTATGGAACGACACGCAACACCCTGTATACAATCGAAAACTTGATTAAACTAAGCAACAGATTAAAATAGCCTAAATCGTTCTTGGAATATTCACTATTATTAAGGAATTTAGGAACGATTTAAAGTGTGAACTAGTATAATAATAATCAATACTTAATTAAAATATATGGCGTTTTTTTCCAAATCCACTTTTGAAGCTTTGAATTTTAATTTTCCATCCCAACTCTTTGATAAGTATAATTAGAATGTTCTACTTATTTCTACAGCAAGATTAATTCTCGCTTCGCCCAGTTGCAGCAGGCATTTTCATAAGTTCCAAATTTAAATTTGACCTTTGTACTAGACAAAGTAACTAAGCGCTTTATAACGTAAAAGCTAAGTTGAAAACAATCCTGTCTACTATCGGAAATCACTGTTTCAATATTAGCGACAAATTATTTACAATATCCACGTCCCCTGCTTTAAGTTGCGAAGACGCTGAACTTTGAAAGTCCCAACGACGGGAAACTTGATTCCAGACTTTCTCCAAAGTTAATCCCAACGATGTTTGCAAAAGATGGTGCCAGTTTGGCTTAAGCTGTCGCGTAAGCAACTGGAACAGTATGTTTATTAAAAGTCATCAATGCTGAAACTTTATACACAGAATGTTTTTAGATTCGGTTTAGAGTTGAACGGATATTTTCGTGAAACTTGACTTTATTTAATTACCTGATCAAAAGGCCGATATCCTATGTGAAACATTTTGTGAACCAAAGGATCTGGTGGATTTAGGACTTTGTTTCCGGGAGTTAGTTCCGTTTTTTCGCTAATGCCTAATTTCCAAAACACCCATTCGCTGTTGTGTTTCACAAAATGATACAGTGTCTATAATTGTGAGTTAGCTAATAACTCTTATATATAATATAATAAGAGAAAATTTGTTTTTTTGCACTGACTAAGTGAGAAACTACTACTGAAGACTTACCTTTAGACTTTGTTTTCCTTGAACAGTCATCAACAAGTCGCTTACAATGATTTCAATAACTTTCTGATTGTCGCCGATTTTGTCCGCTCCTGCATTGACAAAAATTGATGGATCATCCTTGGCTTCATCTATTTGGGCTAGAAATTCGTCGATCTGATCAGTGTGTTTGTTGTCTTCATCTGAAATTCAATAGACTGTTACATTGAAGATTTGCTAATGAATTCAGTTTTAATAATATTAACTTGTTCTGCAACATGCAATGAGGCAAAAAGTTGATATAAGATCAAGCTTGCATAAAAATAAGTTTTTTGTCTACAGTTCCTAGCGCTTAATTGAGCTTTTTAGTTAGAAGAGTTAGCAGAGCTTGCAGCATGATTTAAGTCAAATGATTGCAAAACTCCACAGGGTGTAACTTTTTCTGCGTTTATGGTCACTTTTACCCGTGTACCAATATATTTTTTGAAGTGCCACTGCTTTTGTTCCTAAACCTTCAAATTCTCCTTAGTTAGTCTTTAGCATTTTCTTAGTCGTTTTGACTTATTTGAGGATGATTAAGAGTTACTATTACTATTAATCACGCAAACATACGGCTAAAATAAGCCTATAAACGACAACATATAACATACAATACATACATATATAACAAGAATACAACACGAAATTGCGGCAGCAAAATTAAGCACAAAGCCCGGAAAACATTCCTAAATGTAAAATTTAGCACAATTCGAAGTAACAATGAGTATAAATAACATCTAGCTAAAAAGCAATTGTGAAAAAATAATACTGTTAACCCCTTATTCGACAAAAGAAAATAAGATGACCGGTTCATATAAACATGATCCCGCAAATTCGTTTACGATATAGAGTGGGTGTCAAAATAATATTTGTTTTTCAATTTGTTTTCTACTCCCATACTCGTTTCTAGGGCGTCACTAATACTTTATTCTTACAAATTTAATTTCTCTATTTGATTTGGAACTTTTTTGTCTTCTGCACGTGTATAAATTTACATGCAGGTACCTCTTTGTTTACCAAATCTAATATATTTTACATAAACTTTTTATATCTTTCTCACTCTACTTTCAGGACACAGTGTACAAGGTTATTGATTGAACTTTGGCCACCCCGTTGTTGCATCTAATTTGAAATTTAGAAAAAAACGTTAAATATTTACGTGTGGGTCAATACAAAAAGCCTTTTTAAAAAAGGTCTTTATTAGAAGCAGGATACAAATGAACTGGTTTCGCTTTGTTTCGAGGTTGCAATTGTAACCTCGGTACATGTTCTTATCTTTGCTTAGTGTTTAATTAATTATTGCTTACAATTTAAGTTGCAAGAATGTAACTCCTCCGCCCTTAGCTAAAAACATACCCACAGGGTGTGGTTTTATAGATATATTTAAATTATACAATTATGATGGGCTCGGAAGTATGTGTTTTTGAGCGTTTTTCTTTAACAGTTTTGTATATAGCGTAAACGCAAGCAACAATAATGATTATATATATAATTAATGTCCATAAATTGACGCGGGTCACTTCTAGGGGCGTTGTCAATTCTTGAAGATGGATTTTCTGGTTTTCTAATTCGTTGGCGATCTGCTTCGTTTCTTCGATATTGATTGATTGTAAATCAATATA